TCATGCCTTCGCAGACTCTTGCCCATGGAGGGTGGGGCAGGGAAAGGATCGAGGAATTCTCATATCTTGTGCATAATAGTTATTTCCAAACATAGACCTCAAGAACCCGGGTAAAAAAAATACCCCGGGCATGAATCCCATTGGATGCTCTTATTAGCATATCCTAGAAGGGGTTACCAACTACATAAGTAGAATCAAAAGAGTGTTGGACTAGGACTCGCAAGACCAGGAGCCACGTGGCCACTTAGCCATGAACCTCACTGTGGGCCACCCAGGCTCTTCCGCATAACCTACCTAGCATAGCTGTTGTGAGGACAAACTGGGAGGAAGAGAACCACATACGTTGTCTTCAAGTCGTTGGAGGAAAGGGGGGATATAAATGGAACAAATAAATAAATGAACACTGGGGGGGGGGAGTCAGATCCACATGGAACGATGAAATTCAAAACCTTTTTAAAAATCTCGAGACATATTTCAGCAAAAGTAGCTTGGGCGAGAGTTGGCAGTTCTCAGTGCAGCATCTAATAAGTCAGAATTCGAGTTCACTCAGCCATTCCCACCATCCCAATTTAGTCATGAATCAAAGTTCAGAATATCTGTTTGAGAACCTGAGCTTGTCAGGAAGAGGCACATCTGAGAAATAATGTGCAAACCTAAAAAACAAGTTCATATCAGGGGCCGTGTTATTCTCTGCGAAATTGATGTAACTCACTTTGGGACAGAGCACATCAGAGGCATTTTACCATTTTTCTCCATATCTGAACCCACTCAAGCCTGGCCAGAGGGCAATGGTTAAGCTTTATGCCAGTTGGGGACTGACTGGGGTCTTATGCAAGCATCCTGTTACCCTGGCATGCTCTATGTGAACTGAGAAAAGTTGCTGGGTCATGCCATAGAGCTTAGACTTTTGGTAGCCCTGTGGGGTGCTGGATTTGCATCTGTATCTTTGTGTGCTCTCCCTCTATATGCTGTTGCATGGTTTATTATTGCCAACCACCAAGTGAGTTTCCACAGGTGAACAGGGATTCGAACCCAGGTCTCTTGAGTCTTAATCCCACACAAAGTCCACTACGCATCACACTGGCTCCTCTACATGCTGTATTTTTTCTCTCTCTCTGTTTCTATGTGCATGTACACAGAGAGCAAAACTAATGAAACAAATACTAAATACTGTAGTAGTGCCATGATGTTCCAGCTTCTGCATTTTTCAGCCCATCAAAGTTTGCTCTGATCATAGGTGGCAAGCCTAGGATACAATGGGTGGAGTGTTCTGCTATCGAAGTTTAATATTTGTTTTCTTATTCATTGTAATAAATCTATGTCATAAGTCACTGACAGCACTAACAACCCCCCGCCCGCATGAACCAGAACACAGCCACTCTCTGAGATGCTTTAAAAATAATCTGTGTGTGCATGTTTGCGTGCATGCATACACACACACACACACACTCCCTCTCTACTCCAGTTCTGTAAACAGCGTAACACACACTGCAGCAAGCCCGGTGCTCACTCCCTGCCTCAGTGAGACCTTGCTGTGGCATCCACCTCATCAATGCCACACACCTGAACAGGTGTCATGTGTGAAACCTCCCTGTACCATCTTGCTGCAAACCCCAGGCTAGAACACAGCAGAGCAAGCCCAGGAAGATCGTTGAAAGGAATGAGCTAAGAGAAACTGACACATGTGCTCCTCTACTCTCCAGTAGTAATTGGGGCAACAGAGAGCGCAGTCAGTGCCTGAGCTCCATCTGCTGAGTGGTGATGGTGCCCCGGGCCATCTTCACAGCTCCTATACTGCTCAACACTTCATCTAGCAACCCAGCACTGGATGGGTCAAGCCGGGAGAGGAGAGAAGCAAAATAAATCCTCTCCTTTTGCAGACAGTCAACTGTGTTTTGTGTAGGCCTGCTTGTGCAGCTTTTAGGTTCTGCTCAGGTTCCAGAGATATTTAAGGAGACGAAACATATCAGGGAGGATGAGGCAGGCAGTTAAAAGTGGCTGGAAGGCTCCCCGGTATCAACTCAGTCACCTGGGCGCACAGACAGACAGCTGCAAGGGGCAGCCCTTTGGATTCCTTCCCTCCTCCCAGTCCACTTGTTTAGTGTGGCTCAGCCACTACAGGGCATTCTCTCCTTTTACCTGGGGATACTGGAACACTGGCCAAGATGCAGAGGGCTAGGAACAAAGGACTGCTATTGCCAGACATAATTAAGATCTGTTAAGGTGATGGGCTTTCATTTTCAGGACCTCCTCCCACAGCCCAATTAGCACCACTGCCTGGACTCCCCTGCAGAGCAAGCTGTGCAGTCGGGGGCAGATGGTGCTGGCTGCCATGGTTGTGGGTACAGAGAAAGCACCTGTGGCTCAGACACCACGCAGGCATGTGGGCCATAATTGGAGCAGGGGTTTTGGCAGCTGCAAAGCCCTCCAATCTGTTCCCACAGGACTTGCATCAAGAACTGCCAACTCACCCCAGGCTCCATGGATAACAGGACAGGGTTGCCCATTGGAGTGAGCGGCCAAGAACTGTGACAACGCCATCAAGCAGGGGTGTAAGGTCATCGCTAACAGACCGTATGGTGGAGCAAGAAGCCCACCTCCCCTCGAGAATGTCACCTCTGCTTATGTGATTTTAGGCTCTCTGCCCACGCAGTGAGAAGAGACTTCATCAGCTATGGAAGGGGAGAACTAAAGCTGGTAGGGCATGAGCAGCTAAGCCCATCCCTACTCTGGCTGCTCTCTTGATGGCCAACCCAAGACATTTAGCTGCCCGAGAGGGAGCTCCAAAGGCTCCTGGTTCTGCCACTGCTGCCCCCCCCCTCGGCTCCTGGTGCTGGAGCTGCCAAAGCTTAAAAGGTCCTGCCCGCCCCGGTCGACCTTTGTTCCTGCCCTCCTCTGATTCCCTGTAGTCTGTTACTTGAAGCAGTCTGCTTCACTCCTTAGAAAAGGATACAATCAGGGCCTGACTTAACTCCAGCGATTGACTGATTTTGGAAAAGTTATTTTCCCAAACTCTTTTGGATGTTGCAACATCCATTTTTCATTTCAGGTAACATAAAATCCCAAAGAGATGCTTTGTGGTAAATCGGAAAGCTCAGCGCAGTGCCAAATCGTCCTCCCAACTTGCCGATCCAACTTCACATTACACTCCTGCAGCGAAACTTTGCACTAGGATTTTGCAGTTAGGCCCTTAAATGCAATGTTCAAAAGCTTCCAGTCAATTGAATTTGAAATGGGCGGTCCTCATTTGAAGCCACACCGGCTCTATCCCAACAGAAATGGAGCTCCAGGAATGAGCAACACCTGCTTTGCACAATTACTTTATTGTTGTGATTGCAAAAGTGCCAATGGATTGCTCTGGCTCTCGGTGCCTGCCGAGACATCACCTTTTGGAATGATGCTTTGCATGGACGGGTGAGCAGGTGGACAACGTTAAGTGGCCATCAACAGACAAAAGACACAGCAATCGCTTTATCAGCCTGAGTTCCTGTGGCCCAGATCCAGAGACATTAAAAATATATATATACATATTAAGTCACAGCAGGTTCTTAATGACATCACAGTAAAAGCAAGACAACCTGGGGAGACTCCAGACGGACTTTCTAGGTTTTCTCCAAGAGGCTCAGAGCAAACTGCCAGAGCAGAGGCTTGGCAGGCAGCACAGAAAGTTTAACGGCTTGGAAATAAATGGGCATCTCTGACAGTTATCCAAATGTAAATAAATGCAGGGGCCATTAACTTGCAACTTTAGCCCACCTCACAGGGCACAGTATGGACAGTATTATCTGTCTGCTGGACTAACTATAATAATTCCTGGAAAGCCAGCAGGCCGCCCCCCCACGGCTGTTGAGGCCGATAGGTCTACCATGCAGGAAAGAACTGCTGTCCAGACGAACCTACTTGTCTAAGGCCTTTTAGAAGTACCTCAGAAGCCTATTTCTGACTCTCTGTGGCCTTTTGGTTTCAAGAAGCTTTGGTTGCAAAAGGTCTGAATGTTAAAGTAAGAGGCAAACAAAGGGGACAAGAGGTGCTGGGCCTGCCATAGGTTACAGTGGGGAGGTGAAGACATTGGCTTGCCCTCTGCTATTCCAGTCACAGACAGTACATGCAAGGGATCTCCTGTTCCTCAGACTGCTGGCTTGAGGATAAGAAGGAGATTGAGGTAGGAAAAAGGGACCAGACTCAACATGCTGAGGGAAGCTTGATTCTTGCCAAAGACCTAGAAATCAGGGATGCTGAAGCCTCTTTTCCTGCCTGATGTATTGCCGTCCTTGAACCCACACCCACACCTGAAAGCAGCTATCAGAATGCCTTTCCAGCTCACGGCACCCTTCCCTGTAAACATGTTAAAATGGGCAGAGAAAATAGGATTGGGTTTGTGCATCCCTCATGACACAGCCACTCCTCCTGCTTGATGAAGGAAACTGAGATAAGTTATTAGACTGGACGATACTGCCCTCCTCCCCCAATGGCATGATGGCACTTAACATGAGGTGGAAGAAACTAAGAGAGCAAAAGAAAAAAAAAGATGGCTCTGTGGGTGAGGCAAGTGTTACCAGCTATGGCCCAGTTAAAACAAACAAACAAAAAAAGCACAAGGGGGCTGGAGGGCCCTTGGGATCAGCATTTTGGTAAGGAAACAATATTGGAGGGATTGTTGGAATGGTGACTTGTGGGTGAGGGCACTGTGGGGAGATGCTGTGGAATCTGCAAGGGTGGAGTACTGGAAATGCTGCTGTGGTGCTAAAAAGAGGAAGCAGAGGCACCCAGAGACTGCTGGGCGAAAGGGGAAAGGCAGCACGTGGGAACTGGCCACTCATGGCTTGTGGGCACTGGAGGAGAAAATTCTGGCTCCCTGGCTCCAGCACCATGAGGCACCAAACCACGCTTGGAGGGCTAGCCCATTATCGTGAGACTGTCAGGCACTGAAAAGGGAGGTTCTGTCAGTTAGTTCTGTTGTACTAAAGAGGGCACCATTAAGATGGCTTCTAATGCCTTGAGCCCTAGGAGATCCCACTTCCCAGGCCCTTGACCCCGTCATTTATATCTCTAACAAGGCAGGCCCTTTTTCCTTCAGGCCATTACTGTCGTTCCAAAGTATTTACGTAGCTGCTCCAGGAAGATAAAGGTGAGTACAGTGTGAGGGACCAGACGGATGCCAGCTGGAACAAGGCCCTAGAAAAGGGAAAAAAGTGCAGCCTGTTTTAGAGACCCGGCCCCAGAGTTCATACCTTCTCTAACAAGACAAGAGGTTGGGTGAGCTAGAAAACAGGAAGGCAACTGGTGCACAAAGTCCCAGCTGTGGATCCCATGCGGCTAGCTTTTAGGAACAGGTTGGACTCTGCCCCAAATGCAAAGAATGAGCAGTTTGACTTATTTGTCTTGGGGGGGGCGGCTACATTGTCCAAATGATATGGGAAATGGTCCAAGATTGGGATGGTAAAATTTGCATTTCCCCCCGTTGATTATATGATATGCAAGTCAATGTGAATCAGCCTGGAGTTTTCTTCCCCATTCTGATTTTTTTTTCACCCTCCACTACTGGGGTTTCTACTTCATGTATTCAGGCTGTGATTGATTAAGCCAACATGGAGAGGGTTGTAGCCACTCCATTTCAAGCCATTCCACCCAGTTACAGGAGCAGTGAGAGAGGCAGGACAGTGGGAAAACTGGCTGCTGTTTCCATTGTCTCCTCCCCAAACCTGGTGCCTCAGTTTTCTTTTTTCCTCTCCCTTACCATCCCTCCCTCCCTTCCTTTCGGGCATTTTGCTGTTGTGCTAGGGCACTTAGGTGACCAAATTTTGGGGGTGGGGAGGAAAGAGGGCAAGGAGTCAACCAAGAGAAAGGAGGAAAGTATTAATTAGCCTTTTTTTTCCCAGCTTGCTAAGACAGCTCTTCTGTAGCCACACCTCCTGAAAATCTGAACATCCACAGCAGAGCTGCCTTAAGAAGCCACACACAGGGCTGATGGCCAATTTCCTCCTTTCTCTCTGCTGACTCCTGTGTTGTCAGCTACGGCAAATTCACCCGGGGGAAGCCTGACTTCCCCAGTACGACCTCACAGTGGATCTATACACATTTGTCCCACTGTGTAGTTGCACTATTAAACTTGTCTTTACCTCAGTCTGGTTGTAGCAGGGTTGGGGCACGGAAACCTAAAATGAGGGGATGGCAACCCTGCCCTTTTGAAGTTATTGTGGGTGAAAGAAAAAGAGAGGTTACTTACCTGTAATCATAGTTCTTCGAGTGGTCCTCTGTGAATCCACACAAATGGGTTTTATTGCACCTGCGCAGGACTTCTTGGAATATTCTAGAGCTTAAAAAGACTTGATTAGTAGGACATTGCCCCATGGTGTGCATGCTCTGCCTGCCCGTAATACTTCAGTTCCAAAAATGTCCACCACTGTCAAAGCTCTGACCAAAACAAAGCTCAAGGCACCAAGTGACAGACAGCAGAGAGGATGGGAGGGATGTATGAATTCACAGAGGACCACTTGAAGAACTATGATTACAGGTAAGTAATCCCTCTTTCTTCTTCATGGCCTTTCTGAATGCATACAAATGGGCTATCACACCAACAACGAAGTCAGCTCAGCACTTCTGAAACTTGCTTCTTTCTTGGCTCTGACATCCAGATGGTAATGCATCACGAAAGTTGAGGTAGTTGACCAAGTGGCTGCTTGACAAATGTCAGGGACTTCAACGCCAGGCAGGCAGGCAGGCAGTGGATGTGGTCATTGCTCTTGTAGAGTGTGCTTTTAGCACCTCTGGTAGATCCTTGCCTGCCAGGTCATAAGCCAAAGTAATGGCAGAGACAATCCATCTCGAGTCTGTCTGTGAAGAGGCCGGAGAACCTCTCCATGGGCCATGGAAGCAAACAAAGAGTCTGGGAGAAGTACGAAAATCCTTAGACTTGGAAACATAAGCATAAAATGCTAAAGCACGATGAACATTGAGGGAACATCAGAAGAGAGAGAAGGAAACAACATCGGAAGAATCAAAGGCTGATTAACATGGAAATCTGAAATCACTTTAGGGAGGAAGGTGATGTCTGGGTACAAGACAACTTTGTCTGGATAAAACTGAATATAAGGAGTGTCAGCCCGAAGGGCAGCCAGCTCGCTTGCTCGACGTGCAGACGTTATAGCTACAAGAAAAAGAGTTTTGAGGGAGAGAAGCTTGAGATGTGTCGAAGCCATGGGCTCAAAAGGAGGGCGAGTGAGAGCATGGAGAACAACTTGGAAGGACCACTGAGAGAGTGGAGGTCGCACAGGTGGCCGAATGTTCCGCAAGCCTCTAAGAAACATCTTGAGATTTGGATGGGAAAATAGACGAGAGGCCTGCCTCAGATCATATAGGTTGAAAAACAAATGACTTGCAAACCGAGTTCTGCCACAGTCTGAAGAACAAAGGCAGAGTCCCTTCGGGCTGCAGAGTATGACCCTGCTACTATTAACCAATTGTCTATATACGGAAAGACCGTGATGTTGTGCAAAGATAGGCAGCCACAGGAGCCATACACTTTGTGAAAGTTCTTGGAGCGGTGGACATCCCGAAGGGGAGGGCACACAATTGGTAACCCTGTCCATGAAGAGAAAATGAAGGTATTTGAAGTGACGTTCATGAATGGAGATATGGAAATACACATCTTGTAGGTCTACGGCCACAAATCAATCATCTGGAGAAAGCAGTGGTATAATGGATTCCAGGGTGACCATGCAAAAGTGCTTCGGAAGGATGGGGCAAAGGCCTCCGTTGTGTTTGGGGACGGTAAAGTACTGAGAACAGAAACCATTTAGAACATATTGGGAAGGTACTTGTTGGATAGCATATTTCTGGATGAGCAGAGAAATTTCATCCTCTAGGGCACTGGTTCTTAACCTTGGGTTACTCAGGAGTTTTGGACTGCAACTCCCAGAAGCCTTCACCACCAACTGTGCTGGCTGGGGTTTCTGGGAGTTGCAGTTCAAAAACATCCGAGTAACAAAGGTTAAGAACCACTGCTCTAGGGCAAGTGATTAAGTCAGGGAAACCTTCTGAAGCAAACTTTAGGGGCATGTATTGGGGCCATGTAAGAAGGTACAAACTCCAACTGCATGGTCAATTCATATAATCAACTCACACTGCAACAGATTTAAGACTAACAAAATACAGTTCTTCTCAATAGTTGCTACTTTAAATGGTTTTCAAAAAAGAATTAGAAAAATGTACAGAAGATACATTTACCACTGAAACCGGCTGTAAAGCTAAATGCAATGTTCAAGTTCAGAAACAGCTCATGACCACTACTAAAATACAACACTGTGAAAGACCTACTGCCATTGCACCACATTGTTCCCAGACACATCTAGGAGATCCATGTCAAAACCAGCATTCTGGACTGTAGCACTGCTCTTTGTATTCCTAAAAACACCTGTGCACACATGTGTAATATCTGTATTGATAAATTACTTTAAATGTAGAAAAACAACATATAAAATAGTCATATAAGAAAGCTGTTCCTAGTCAGATATTAAACCAATCTTGCAATCAATCACTTGCCAAGGAGTTTTCATATCTACATTGTAAGAGCCACTGTTCAAGATATCCTATAGCATAGGTAATAGCAGACTAGTAAAACTGTACGAGAAACACAATATAATCCTAAATATGTGTATTCAGACCGAGTTCAGTGGGGGTTACCCTCAGAGAAGATGATACAGAACTGCTGCCCAAGGTTTTATTCTTGCCTTCAAATATGAGTTTCCTGCTGCTATACTCAATTTCACACTCAAGTGTGCACACAGGTGCATATTCTAGGTGTATTTGCTAATAAGTGAAGTAGATAAAATAACAGTACTGAGGCTATTGTACATGAGAAGACATGACTCACTAAAAAGTGTTAGGAAGAGGGGAAGGCATCAGGCAAAGATATGGTTTCACTCAATAAATGAAGTTCTTTCCTTTAATCATTGTTGCTGTTTACATGATCAGGCTTCAAAAACCTGAATAGCTCACTGGTTTAGGTTTCTGGTTGAAGAGCTAGAGGTTGGGAGTTTGATTCCCCAC